AAAACACTAAAATTTCACAGATCTTAAGTAAAATTATGAAATGTCATTGACTTAGATCAAAGACATTTAACAGCCTACTCTGAACGACTCAAAAATGGGACAAACATCTGAAAATTATTTCTTTGAAAAATAAAGGATAACTATAAATCTACTCTGCTATGGACTTTCAAAACTGTTTGTAAATATTTCATCGTAAATTTGTGTGGGTTTCCCAAATGTTAAACGTCTCCTTTCTTGAGACCTGAGTTCATTATTGCAGGTACCCAGCCCTGAGTTCATAAGCTCAAGTCCACCTATACTGTTACATAACATCTAAAACCGAAGGGCCTCATCTTCAACATGCGGTAATAACCCTTCCAGGACTGTGATAAATGATAAATGAGGCCATTCAATTGCATTCAATAACAACTGTCACTATGAACTGTCAGTCATGTAAGAGTTTGAGACACACAATATAGCATGTACATCTTTTAAGGTATAGTGCCAACCAGAAATCAAGTGTCTGGTGAGTCAATCCTTACTTCCTTTTTCACCAACCAGAAAAACAGGAAAAGTAGGAGCATCTTAAGCAACTTCCTCCAACTAATACAAATACCTTTAGTCACACCCATCCATCTTCCTCAACTACAGTTTCTTCCTTAGCTATTTTTGTGACTAAGGATACCAAATTTAGATGTTGCTTTCATCTCCAGATTTCAAAACAGTTGTTAAGAACTGTGATTAAACTACCAAAAAGAGGATTTTGGAGGAATAATGAACATTGACTGCAAACTAAAGTGATTACCACAGTCTACCCAGTAATTGAAGGGGCCAGTTCTCATTATACACTGTAATTCACTGTAAAAACAGCCTACACAAAACAAATGTTCAAAAAGAATCCAGACTTAAAAATGTGCTGCCAATGCAATGTACTACGCTAGAAATGAATAATTTAAATGTGCCTCAAAGACTAAAAGGACCACTTTTTCCTTTTCATCTCCTTTAAATAAGAACAGAAAAAGGATTTTTATGTTTTGTTTTATTTTGGCTTGTTAAAAAAATTAATGAAAATGGCCAAATGGAATGATGCTTACAGAAGTTTCCTGTTTTCAACATCTGAACACTAATATAATGTCCTAGCTCCTGTGTTTCCTTGCCTAAACAGAATTTTGCTGCAGGCAAATTTTATCTGAACTTCTGAGTGTTTAGAAACCAGGGACCTTCAATAAATTGTTTCTCACTAGCTCCTTGATCTCAACCAATCTTTTAAATGGCACTGATGCCCTGGTCTGAGGTGTGGAGTGTCCCAGCCCATCAATTAGTTGCACATACACAGCTCATTTGATAGCTAAAAGCAATCACAGGACTCGGGGCTAATTCAAAATGCACTTTTCCAAGCAACAGCTCATCTTGAATTGGTGAATCCTTCATTGGTTGTAAGATAAGAATATAGACAACAGAAGATGCTGCCTGAAGTTCAGGCCTTTTTAAATGAACAAGATAAACGCATTGATCACAGATTTAGAGATTGGAATATATTTTCATGAAATTTTAGAGGATGGTTAGATCTTTATCACAGAGCTAAGTTTGTAATAATGAACAGGAGGGGATACCTGACAAAGTAGTAATTAAATAAAAACATAAATTCAATAAAACAACACATAAAAACCAATGCTGTAAACTTAACTTGAGATAAATATATGGAGAATTAAATTGGAAACCAAGATATATGATTTCTAATCTTTGTTCCACTAACTATGTTACTTTGAGCAAATTGCCTAAAGGGTATTTGGTAGGCAGAAGAGAGCATACACTTCCTCCTAAACTCTTGAGAATGGTCTTTAATTCCATCCTTTGCTCAGTACCTCATAAATGTCAATGAATAATTTAAGCTTAAATCTTTTTGCTGTTTTTTGTTGTTTGTTTGTTTTTTGGTCTTTTTGAGACAAAGTACCCCTGAAGCCCCAGATGACCTGGAACTCCCTATGTAACTAGGCTGGTCTTGAACTCACAGAGATCCACCTGCCTCTGCCTCCCGAGTGCTGGGATTAAAGGTATGATGCACCACCACACCTGGCCCTTAAGCTTAAATCCTTTTAATGAACTGCGTTTTCTGATTTTGATTTATATTAGTCCAACATATATTTATTGAGGGTCTACTACATGTTTGATCCTATATCTAAAAGACATCTCAGAAAAGAAGTGTATAAAATATATGGTGCTCTATGTTATGACCCATCACCAAAATGCAGAATAAAATCAAAATTCCACATCCTTATGTATCCCCTAGAATCTTTAATTTTTGAAATCTCTCAACATCAAATTCTGGGAAAGATAGGCAGTAGATGGAATACTTAATATGTTGGTGGTGAGTGGGAAAATGGTATAGTACTTTGTAAAGCCAAGCAGTCATTTCTTATTGCTCAGTAACACCGCTAAGTATTTACCAGGAGAAAACAACAGTCCACAAAAAGACTCGGCCATGAATGTTCATAGCAGCTTTTTTCATCATAGATGAAATTGAAAACAACTCAAATATATAAGTAAATTAGTAGGCAATTATGTTACACCAATTTAATAATACATTAAGAGAAAAATGTTAATTGACAAGAATTAATTGGAAAATTATTAACTTAAATGATTGAAGCAAAACATGAGTATTTACAAAATGATTTCATCTGTATGAAGAATTGTAATGCAAATATCTAGCCTAAAATAGCAGAGGGTAGATTAATGGTTGATGGAGCTCAGAAAGTGGAGGAAGACAGACTGCCAAGGACCTCCTTGGGGAGATGGAAATATTTGTATTCTGATGGGTAAGATGGTGACAAGCATGTATACTGTATTAGTTGCTTTTCTGTTGCTGTGACAGAAACACTGACCAAAGCAACTTATAGAAGGAAGTTTATTTGAGCTTATGGTTCCAAAGGGGAAAAAGTCCATCAAGGTGGGGAGGCATGGTGGCAGAGGTGGCTGGAGGAAGAGCAGAAGCTGAGCTCTCACTTCTTCAAGCAGGCACAGGAAGCAAGAGAGTTACTCGAGATCCAGCAAGGCTTAAGAACTCTCTAAGCCCACCCCAAGTGACATGCTTCCTCCAGCATGGCCACACCTTCTAAGACCTCCCAAACGGCACCACCAACTGGGGACAAAATGTCCAAACATTTGGAGCTTATGGGGGACATTCTCATTCAAACCACCACATATGCTATTTCCTAAACCAATAGAAAATATATTTAAAATGTGCATTGCCATATTTCTACACCCTACTAAGTGATTAGCTATGATAAAATGAGAGGAATTTGAATTGAGAGACATATGAGTGATGGCAGATGGTTTATCAGAATCCACAAAAACAACTCAGAAGAAAAAGAGAAAACTTTCATCTTTGAAAATGTCTGTGTACAATGGCATCTTGGGTGCTGGTGAGATTAGACCAATGGCTCAGGAGTTAGGAGCACTGGCTGCTCTTGCAGATGACCTGGGTTCCATTCCCAGCACCAACATGGCAGCTAACAACCATTGGTAACTCCAGTTCCAAGGGAATCTGATGCCCTATTCTGGCCTCTTTGGATATTGCATGCATGGGTACACTTACATACATGCAGGCAGAATACTCATACACTTAAAATAAAAATAAATAAATTATTGTCATATATGAACTTGAAAGAAGGCTCCCAATTGCCAGGGCAGAGCAGTCAAAACCTGAGTTTGAAAAAAAAAAAAAAAACAACTAGGAAAGTCAGAAAGTGGAGGGCTTAAGCAGGAGAGAGAAAGGGAAGGGATCCTCCCTGGATGGTTTGATTATTAAATTGAGGTCCTAAAAGCCTGTTGCCCCGGTATCTTGGAGACTGTTAGAAATGCCATTAAGAGCCTAGAATAGTGGCACATGCCTTTGGGAAGCAAAGAAAGAGAGAGAGAGAATTTTTAAGGGAGGAAACGAGACCAAAGAAAAGTTGTGTTTAATTACAGATGTTTGTAATGCGGTGGTACTAGCACCACCAATGCCACCTTCCTCTGTTTCCAATCAGACTGACTAGAAAATCTGGATGTTTTCCCCACCTCTGTCAATTAGAAATGGGAATGAAGTCAGAATGCCATGTCAGAATTTATTTAGCAACAACAAATCCATAAGCTATGTTGGTTTTGCTTGCTGCAGTTTCCCAGAGTTCCTATTTCTCTTGATATCTAGTCAATCTAACCCAAGCTTTTATTCCAACCTTAACCACTAACATTGACTCTTGCTTCGCAGAGTCAAACATACACATATACATATGTACAGAATGACTACAAAGGGCTAAACAGGCCACAGCAGAGTTCAAGAAGTTGTAGAGAGGCCTAGCCAACAGGGACAGAAGGGACTATCTGCAGAAATTGGATGAACCCTGTTGGAGGTCTGCTGGAAACACTGTGGCAGTCAAGCTGCAGGGTCTGAAATTAGCCAGGCCTCAGGGTTGTGTCAAACTATAGAAGTGAGGCAAGGGTCGTGAAGCTGTAGAGGCAAAGGCAAGACTGGGTCCAGATGGACAAATTGGTGGACGGATGGACAGCAAGTCCAGACAATGAATGGGTAGATGGATAGACAACAAATCCAGATGGAAGAATGAGTGGATGGACAGCAATTGGGCAAGGCTGCATCAACAGTGGGGATCGAGCTGAACTAAAGCTTTGGGGGCAGTCAGTACTTGCCTCCTATGGATCCCTTGATGTACACACTGGGTGGTCAGATGACAGGTTGGGAGCCATGATGATCACAGTGTTAGGTGTCCTCCTGTTTATGGAGTCCAGTTGAGGGCACTGCACTGTCACCTTTGTCCAGTTTGTTTAATGAGTTCTCAAATCTGATTTTCTGATAGGATTTCAATATACCCATGAATTCATAGGATGGCACCCATTTTACTTTTAGAAGTAAGTTATATATCAGTCTGTGTCTCCTGGGTTGTGCTGTACAGATGGTAATATTTATGTGCCCAACAAGAAGCAGAGCCACTCTGCCTCTGTGTTTGTTCTCAAAACGAAGTCAAATGCTGCTTATAAAATAGCTCCAGGACTTCAGACACAGAAGATGATGAGGGGGCTCTGTGGAATTGCATTGCCTGTACTTTTTTGAAGTATCCGGTTTAAACTGTTGTGAACAGTATGAAATGCCATGACATTTCTGAGCCAGAAGGCCCCATGTTATCCTTAAAACTCCAGAAAGTCATCTGTCATCTGGCGTTTCACAGCTACAGAGGACCTTGTCTAGTTGAAGGAGTGACAAGATGGTGTTATGCTAATGTTCAGCATCAGCCCACAGAGCTAATGATAACTCTGTCTAATGTCATAGGCAGTTGAAATTCATTACCTGAAAGGTGACCTGTTGAAAGACTGGGCTGCCTGCTGCATCCCAAGATGGACCGTTCTCATTCTGTCGATGCCTCAGTGTGCTCAGCAATGTCCCCCTCATGTCACTACTGAATTTTGACACGTGGGAGGAATAGAATGATAGCTGCCTTGTTCCTTTAAAGTTTTCAGTCAAACACTACATACATGAAGAGAAAGAACAAGGTTTAACTTTTCAATAACTCTGTGCTGCTGCACAGCGCTGGCAAATGCAGGAAGAATGTCTCAAATCTGTGGTACCCTTGGCCTTGTCTTTGTCTTCTCTGAAGACATCTCTGTGACATCAGCATCTGGAGTCGAATGATGAAAAGAAAGGCAGTACATATTGTTTGTACAAGTCCACAGTGAAACCCCCAACGCTTTTCCTACTGTACAGATTGCTCCAGTCTGCTTTAAGTGATTTCTTCTTCATTATTTTCTTATATTTCTCTATGTATAGTGTAATAACTCATGCTCCTTTTCAAACCTTACCTGAGAAAAGCAATGCCGTAATTTTTTTAATAAAAAATATTAATGAAGCTGGGTGTGGTGGTGCATGCCTGCAATCCCAGCACTGGGAGGCAGAGGCAGGCAGATCTCTGTGAGTTCATGGCCAGCCTGGTCTACACAGTAAGTTCCAGGACAGCTGGGACTACAGGGAGACCCTGTCTCAAAAAGACCAAAAAAAAAAAAAGTATTAATGAAATGAAACTATGCACAAGATAACATTCCTCTGCTTACTCAGTACTTTGCCCCCATGGATGACAATGTTTTGTGAAGACATGCAAATGCCACACAAGGAATCGCAGAAAATATTAGTTATGTCTGCAGGTCTCACTACAGACTGACTTGGTAGTAGGTGAACAAACACATTGTTATGTCTTCCACAGAAGCTAAAGCAGAAGGGACTCTAACCCACTGACAGAGCTTGTCTACTTCTTGGTGTCCCATAGGGCTTTCACAGGAAAGCACCAGAAAACACAGGTTCAAAACCAGCAGTGCCAACATACCTTTTTTTAAAAAAAAGAAGTTTAAATGCTTTACTGTTGGAACACTCCATTTCTAATCGGGCAGTATCATGTATATTTATAAAACATGGTAATCTTGATGACAACTGAAGAAAAGCTGGAAAAAAGAAAAAGAAAAACAAGTGAACTTGAACACTGAAGCAACCTCAAACATCTTCATTTTAATGATATATTTTTGTAAGGAAAATAAATATTCAGATGATCGGGAATGTATATAACTAAATGGAATAAAGCAAAAGTAACAGACTGCATTTAAAAGAATTATAAAATTGTATGTCAGTGCTTAAATGAAGCTCAGGGCAGTGCTGAAATACAGAAAAAGATGGGAACTAATGTAGACTGGCACCCACTGTAAGTGTTTGCAAGTAACTGTGTTGTAAATAAACAGGTGGTCATTGCAAAGGTCAGCGCCTGCCAGGCATGGTGTTGCATGCCTTTAATCCCAGTACTCAGGAGGCAGAGGCAGGTGGATCTCTGTGAGTTCAAGGCCAGTGTGGTCTACACAGCGAGCTCCAGGCCAGTTGAAACTATAGGAAGACCCTGTTTCAAAAAGACAAAAAAGTAAAGAAAAAAAAAAGGTCAGAGCCTTGGCTTGCAGACTTGGCATTCTGGAAAGAGCTATGGTAATCCTGGTTAACTCGATAATTGATCCCATGTTTTAAAGTAGGCCTTGTTTTTCAACTTCCTCTACACTTCTATGTGAAGATTAATAGATCAGTTTTTACTTGTTTTATTAATAAAACATAATTTGGATATCTTGAGTTGATGGTTTTGTGATTTTAGCTGGGCAAACTATCTTTTTAACAAATAAGTTATTTATAAAAATTAAAAAACTTTGACGAAGTTCTGATCAGAATAAAATGTAACTCTAAAATTTAAAACAGTTAAATTAATAACATTTAAAATCTTTTATGTTTTAAACAGTACAAGTGTATGTATATAGAGGAAACTTTTAAAACCCAGCTGTACTTCATAAATATATCTATACATACATACATACATACACACACACATATACATATATGTATGAGAATTATGTAAAGGTAATTGGTCTTGGTTTTAAAACTGGTTTGTCATGACATTGTGTCTAACCACAGTATTTATTGTATGAGACTGTTGTGAATGTGTAGACTTAAGTTTAATACTAAGGAAACAATCATTAAATAATTTACCAGATATCAAGAAAATTAAAAAACATACTCTAATGTAGAAAAAAATAGCTCTTGGGTCAAAGGACAGTCTGAAAAACAGCTGTTTTAACAACATGGAGTAACTTAGAGCAACTTGAGAAAAGAGTCTTAAGAGGGACTGGAGAGATGGCTCAGTGGTTAAGAGCACTGGCTGTTCTTGCAGAGGACTTGGGTTCAATTCTCAGTACCCACATGGCAGCTAATAATTGCCTATAACTCTAGCTCCAGGGGAATCCAACCCTCTCTTCTGACCTCCATGGGCATTGCATGACATGGGTGCACTTACACACGTGCAGGCAATACACTCAAATACATAAAATAAAAATAACACATAAGGACTCTTATGAAATTATGTTGGCCCATTTAATCTTTGGTTATACTTTCCTTTTGGGTGTTTAAGGCCATACAGTTGGTCCAGATAAAATCGATTTATTTTTACTCTTAAGGTCGTTTGAGGATCTGTTCCTCAGGGGTCACATGGGCTTGGAAGGAGCCCCTGGCTCCTTTCTTTTACTAGTTCCACCTACATGAAGATAAGTCAAAGGTCACATAACAAGCAACAATGCCAGACAAGCAATACCTTCTTTTGAGTTGATGGCCAGGGTGGCCAAAGGGATTCCCAGATAGTAACCCAGCAGAGAACTGGGAAAATGAACAGCAGACCCCAATCTTATTCAAAGGAATATTGACAACTGATTACCGCTAGCTGAGGAACAGCTGACCCTCCTAAAACAAAGACCTCTAGATAGGCTGGCTATATTCACCAGAAGGCCAAGTAGTGGGGAATGGCTGAGGGTACCGACAACACAGCAGACAGTAGCAGGGATATCAGAGTATAAGGGCTCTAGTGGGGGGAGGGAGGCTATGGGAGGGTGCTACCTGGGAAGTGGTTGTATAAATAAATTTTAAAAAGAAAAGAAAAAAAATTCCCAAAGCATAAAAAAAAATACATAATTTTTTTTTTTAAAAAAGAAGAGTCTTAAGAGAGGCTAACAGAAACTGTGGTGTGTATGTATGTGGTGTGTGTGTGTGTGTGTGTGTGTGTGTGTGTGTGTGTGTGTTAGGCTAAAAGAGCAGTTAATAACATTAAGAAGAGTCAGACTTTTCTTCTACTGTGCACAAAGAGAATTCTTCTAAGAAAGGGACTAAACGTCACTCCTCCACAAATGGGAGTCCAGTCTCCAGGAAGAAAGGAGAATGAAGAATAGGTTGAGGAAACTAGTGAAGGGGGGATACAAAAGGGGAGCAAAGACAGCAATGAATTCCTGGATTCCTGTCTGAGATGAATTTCATTTGGGCTGCCTGGAGACATTACAAAACAAAACAAAAAATACCCAATATGCCACTCTCCGAAGATACTGTGCAGCCTACTCTGCAGGCAAGCAGTCTGAGCGCACCTCAAAAGTGATCTTAGGGCCTGGACATCTTGAATGACCAGCTCATGAGGGGTTGAAACTATATTAGGAGCTGTATAGCCAACAAAGACCAGGATTCTCTGACTGTGTATAATTTTATTATCACTGAAATCACTGAAGGAGGTAAATTGCTTCCCTTAAATCTTATCAGATGACACATTAGACAGAGTCTGTTTCTAGTTTATAAGAAAAGTGGCTACATGGAAAGTCAGCTAACAAAACCCATCATAAATCGCTGGGAGGGTGATAATTTCAGAGTTTGTTGTGAAATAGAAAGTCATTTCAAAAGAAACGCCTACGAGGGAACTATTTCTTCTAACTAGGGTACAAAAGAAAGGACAAATGAGAAAAATATGTAATTGTTTGTTCCTCTAACTGAATCAGTGAAGAGCTATGGTGCCTGACAGCCGCTGGCCATCTAAGTTAATAGAAGAAGATGAACCTAATTTGCTTTCACTGTCTACCAAGATTTAAAATGCTGTGTGAAAGGGTAGGAGAAAAAGGCATTAAACTTATCAGATGGCTCTTACTTTCCTCTAAAAGCTATCCAAAGATAAAATTTATAGACTTTTTAGTAGGAAACACTTTACACCAAAAATTAACTAAATTTAATAATTAAATTTTAAAATACACATACCTTGCCCAGTGTGATGGTGCACGCCTTTGATCCCAGCACTTAGGAGGCAGAGGCAGGTGAATGAATCTCTGTAAGACTGGGGTCAGCCTGGTCTACATAGCTAGTTCCAGGCCAGTCAGGGCAACAGGAAGACCCTGTATCAAAAAAAAAAAACAAAAATTAAGAAATAAATGTACATGTGTTTTGCTTTGTGCCCACTCCCCACTAGTCTACAGGAAATCTCTAAATTCATAGTTTCTCTTTGATAATTTACATTTCATTTTAATATGTTTTACATCTTCAATGATAATAAAAGTTGCCATATATTTCTGCCTTTGTAGTGGGGACATTTGAAGCCAGACCAACAAGCTTGAAAAGATTCAGTAAGAGTTTTGCTTCCCTGTGCTTCCCACATCTACCCAGGGCCCTGGGAAGTGAGGTCGTGGGTATGTTGCTAGTCGCTGCTGTCGGAGTCTTCCCTAGCCAGTAGGGAATTAGAGAAGGTAGCAGTGTTTACTACAAATTGAGACTGAGTATTATCAGTTTCCATATGGTTTTAACACTTCTTTTTCAGCTCAGGCTGAGTTCCCAGTTGGGTATGTAGCAAGTGGTCATTGTGTTTATACTGACAATGTTTTAGAAACATTTTGGAGTCTCATGCTAACAGGAAATAAATCGTAGCAGCTGTGAGAGAACGGCTAGAAAAAAACTAGGGGAAAAAGGGAAAAGCAAGCCAAAAAGAAAAAAAAAATAAGAGAAAAAAAATGTTTCCTTCTGGCTTTAACTTTCTTTTATT